TGGGGTTCACCTTTCTCGAGCCTGGCTGCAGCAGCTGCTGGCCTATGCCGCAGTAATCCTGACGCAGAGACATCAGTGAGGGTGAAGGCAGCATTAATCTAGGATTTGAGAAGACCCAGCTCTGGAGTTCCTTTGAGATCTTGGCAAAATGACTTACCCACCTGGAACTCGGATTTTCCTGACTGTAAAATGGGGTGAGAGGTGGAAGTGGAAGTAACGAGACCAATTCAATGAACTCAAAGCTCTCAAAACGCTACAACCTTCTTCTGCAAGTTCAAGCAACTATCTTATTCCTGGGGCAGCCTCAACAACACCTTTAATCAAAGGTGGACACCTCAGCAGGGTAAGTGACCGCCAGCCATTGGCCAGTTCCATCATGCCATCCAGTTTGTTCAATAAGACTTCCGATTGACTCAATAAAAGCCATTTAGGATGTCTTTTGATTCTCAAAGGAGTTTCCGGTTTGGCAAAAAAGAAAGCAGCATTTGTTGCTAGCCACCTAGGTACCCACTGGGTATTTTCATCTTTTAGACCAACAAATTTCTCAAACCACCAAACTGGGTTGAACTGTGGCCCCAGAAAAGATAAGCCCACACCTTAACTCCAGGAACCTCTGAATGTGATGTTATTTGGAAATAAGGTCTTTGTGATTAAGTTACAGATCTCAAGAGGAGATCACCATGGATTGAAGATGAGCCCCAAATGCATTGACTGGCGTCCTTAAGAGAGAAAGTGCAGAAGGAGATTTGAGAAAAGACAGAGAGGAAGCCCACGGGAAGACAGAGCCGGAAATGGAGTGGTGTGTCCACAAGCCCAGGGATGCCACAGCCACCAGAAGCTGGGACAGAGGCATGAGCGCACTCCCCCTCGGAGGCTCCACAAGGAACCAACCCTGCGGACAGAGAATAAACTCCTGTTGTTTTAAGCGATCTGGGGGCTTCCCAGGTAGCTCAGTGGTAAAGAATCCACCTGCCAATGCAGGAGACACAGGTTCAGTCCCTGTGTCGGGAAGATCCCCTGGGGGAAGGCATGGTGACCCCCTCCTGTGCTCTTGCCTGGAGAATCCCACTGACAGAGGAGCCTGGCAGGCTACAGTCAATGGGGTCACACAGAGTCAGACATGACTGAGTGACTGACCCCGCACACAGGCTTGTTCTAACCACCAAACAGTCTCTGAAAATAGAATGGATGCAGTTCCAATTATTTATTAAGCTTTTTTTTTTATTCTTTCAAAGTATTCATTGAATTTGTTACAACATCGCTTTTGCTGTTTTATGTTTTGGTTTTTTAGCTGCAAGACATGTGAGATCTTAGTTCCCCAACCAGGGACCACATGTTCATGCCCTGCATTGGAAGGTGAAGTCTTAACCACTGGACCACCAGGGAAGTCCCTCAGTGATTTATTTAAATACAACTTAAGTATCAGAGCTTGATCTCTGGGTCAGGAAGATCCCCTGGAGGAGGAAATGGCAACCCATGCCAGTATTCTTGCCTGGAAAATCCCATGGACAGAGGAGCCTGGCAGGCTACAGTCCATGGGGTCACAAATAGTCTGACTGGACAGGACAGATCATGCACACATGTATCTTATATACATAAGCCATCTAGGCTATGATGTGTTAGAGCAGCCCCCAGAAAACTGATAACCCAACACAGGGATGAGGCAGGCATCACCTCTGAGCTCAGAGCAGCTAAATCACTTGTCCCAGGTCGCTCAGTCCCCAGTGTGTGGGTAGACAGACCCACTACGCTCACACCACCAGGCTGCGTTTATCTAATGTCAGTGGGTCTCAGCACCTTCATTCTCAGACACGAGGAGAGTGAGACCAAAAGTTAAATGACTTTTCCCAGGTTGCAGCTTCTTTCTTGGTGGCAGGGCCCTGGGCAGGACAAAGCATTTCAGCCTCATTCGCAATGAACGGTGGCAAACACTTGCCACCTCCCGGAGCCAGGTCTTTTAAAGAGAGCCCGTTTTACTATCAGCACAATTACCGAGATGTGGAGCTTCACACTAATTTTCCCTTGCAAGTAAATGGCTGAAAAGTAATGGTGTCAATTTTAATGAGGATCAAGCGAGGTTCTTAAAAGGGCTCCCATAAACCAAAGCATCTCCCTCACACACAACAATGGCTTGCTGTTTAATTCCAGAACACAAGAATGTCACTTAAATTACACGGCTTCTACATGAAAGTGCTTATGGGAATGCCTTTCCAAGGGAGAATTTCAATAAAAAGATCTCACCCAGTTAGATGCATCGTCATATCTAAACTGCAAGCCTATGTCTCATAGCAACAAAAATAAAACCTCGGAGAACGTGCACTAGGACAGGACTTCACTTTCTCTGGGAAAGAGTCTCTGAACTTCTGTGAAACTGAGATGTAGCTGAGAGGCTGCTACAAAGTGGCGGTATATTAATCTTGGACCTGTGGGCCACCAGAAATTCAGTGTTTCTGCCTGAATCCTTTTTGTTTCCACTTGCGGAGATGTTCAGAACGATTGTCTGCCAGCCCTGTAAGTCTGCCTGAGACCCTTCAGCTGACTCAATTCTTACTTTATTACCACTTCTCAGAGCAATTACTAGGGTTTTTGAGCAAAAATGAGAGTATTTCACACCTCCATCTTTCCTGAAAATGTCTTAGACTCCACTGACTTTTGGCTTCTATTTATAAAGAAGGTTCAAGGCTTGGAAAATTATTGGGGTTGAGCTTTCATGGATATTCCCAACCAGCATTGTGTCATTATTGGCCCACGTTTAGCTGGGCGAGCTCCCAAATTTGTGACATAATCAGGCCTTTCTCTGCATTACTCCATACACTCTACGCTCTCTCCACATTACACCACTGAATCATACGCTCTTTTCAACAAGACTGATTGCCAGGGGATTAACATTAGACAGCACAATTCCATTATTCAGCAGCCCAATTCAAATCCAGCCCTAAATGCTAAGAGAGATTTCAGGGCTTCACAGAGATGAGCTGCCAGAAAGCTGAAAGGGGAGGTGGGGTGAGGGGCTTTGAATGTTTTACATAACAACTCAACCTAAAACCTACTATATAAGCAAGAGCCCTGTGGCTGAAGTGGCCGAGATATGACTCCTAATTCCTGGAATGGCCCCAACCAATCTTAATGAACAATTTGTAGACCTCTGCAAAGCCAGGATCCCCAAAGACTGCTATAGCATGATGATTTTATTCCCATAATAAATTACTTATTTTCAAAATTGAGTATTTAGAACTTTTAGCCCCAAACCTTTCTTTCCTGAAATAGAAACACTCACATGTCAAACTCAGGATGCATCAGACCCAAAGTGAAATACAAGTGGTATGTTCTCTGATCAACAGACTCATGGTACATCAATGCCAAGATAAATGCTAACTACTTTCTTCTCATATTTGAGTGTTACTTCTCTTTGTGTTTCTTTGGTAAAATATCTGTACACGGTGATCCCCACTAAGAAACATTCCACAAATATCTTTGTAAGAAAAGAGAGTATAAAACTCAGGCTTTTATGAATATCTATAGAATTCACATTATACAAAATCCTTTCAAATTTCACATTAAGGATTCTGAATAATAAAATGTTACTTTTTTTCCACTGAATACTCACAAATGGAAATTTTAAAGACTGTATCTTACTTTCTAAAGCAGGGTTTCTTAAGAATTTAATTTAACCTGCTAGAAAATTAAAATGGTTTTCTATTTAATTTTCAATTAACCTAAAACTTCAAGTAACCAAATCTATGTAATTTGGTTAATCAAACTTTTGCAAGGTTTCTTAATGGCTCTTCGGGCAATTCAAATATCTATGGGTGGTCGGGGGAGGGAATTTCCCTGGTGGTTCAGTGGTTAAGACTCCACACTGCTAAAGCAGGAGGTGTGGGTTCAATCCTTGATCAGGGAACCAAGATCCTGCATGCCATACATAAAGTGTGGCCAAAATATTTAAAAATATATATATTTATCTATGGGGTCTCTCTCCTCAAAGAGTTTATATTTTATTGAAGGAGAAGAAATGAATGCCCACATGGAAAATAAAACTAGGGTCTCATGCCCAGGAAATGATGAAGGTCTTTGTTTATGGATACACAGTGGGTGGGCAGGAGCAACCTGGCACATGGAGACGTGCAAACCAATTAGGGGACCCACAGCAAGGACTCAAGGACGGCTGGCCACTTTGAGAGTCAGGGTAGATGGCAACGAGAAAAGGTGGCTTCTACAAAGAAGAGACCTCGACCCACCATCGCAAAACAAGAAGACACGTCCTTGGGGTAAGTTTATCAGTCCTCTAACAACACAGCAAAACACCCTTTCTTCATCAGTTACAACAAAACCATCATAATAGACCAGACTTGAGAAGAAATTTGAGTTTCTAGGACAACAAGCTATGTGGTCTTAAGATATTTCATGAAAATAGCTTATTTCTCTAAGCATTTAAAGTATTCATCAGTCCATTAAAACAGTTCTCTTTTCACAGAAGAAATAGGTTCTAGGAATGAATGTTGAACTTGTGGTGTCTAATGACTTTCTTCTGATGGAACTGAATGGTTCCTGATGTTAACCTTCCTCCAACCAGCTATAAGCTCAGTCATTATATGTTTTCCTTTACTCTTCAGCCAGCATTATACAGTAGACCTTCTTTCAAAAACAATGCTCCCCCACAGCCTAACTGGACCCATTCCCTACACACGCTAATGTTTTTTTTCAGAGAAATCTCAGCTTCCAAAACATCAGCACATTTCACATCACATCTACATCACACAAGAGGATTCTTGGGAGCCAAGGGGACCATGATAAACACATGTAACTCAGCTAATCAGAAACAGAACACTGTCAAATGACAGACGCATCCTTCTCAAATGACAGCCTGTATTTAAAAAGAATGAAAACAAACCAACTCTCCTGAAAGCACAGGGAGAAACAAGGCTCACTTTCACAACTTCAAATAAGTCAAGCTGCAGCAGGATGGCACACGGCTGGCACTCGGGGAGAGGTAAACTCACCAACAACGTCAAGGTGGTACGTATGATTGATGGACCCGTAATCGTTCTCCACCACGCACGTATAATTTCCTTTGTCAGATGGGACCACGCTTTCCATAATAAGGCTCCAATGCTGGTTTCGTACCTGCAAAGAGGAAAGGCGGTTACTGGACAAGTTTAGTACAGAATACCAGGTGCTGTGCTTTCGTGATTTGAGAAGAAGTTGAGAGAGGCAAGGAAGGTAAAGAAGAATCATCTGAATTCTGAAGTTTCCTCATAATAAGGACTCAGACTGGTAACAAAAGAAAACCATAGGTATCGTCACAGTGAACGTCTGGCAAGCCGGCATTGACATGCTCAGATACAAGAGGGTGTGAAGGAGGTCGGTCATGTCGTGGGCTTGAGGTTCCTCCAGAAGCTACCAAGTGGCCAGGGGACACATCACCAGCCCCCAGGTGTCAGTGTTCCTGGGCAGGTAAGCCTCAGACTGGTCATCCACTGGGAACCCTGAGACTCCATGGCACCAAGGACCCACACAGAGCCAATGCCAGGGATGTGAACACACACACTGGATACCAAGTGTTAGGCTGGCCAAAACGTTCACTCCGAAAGATGTTACAGGAAAACCCGAACGAACTTTATGGCTAACCCAATATTTCCCTGAGCACTCCTTTCAACCTCAGCCAGTTTAACCTTAACTCCTCCAAGGAACCCACGAGGTAGCTGCTGTTACTGTTCCTGGAGCCTTCTGGTTTGAAGGCCTCCCAGCACTTTCCATGTGGCCCTTAGATGCTACTGGGACATCAAAAGTTTCAGCTGGAAACTCAGATCTGCGCCCTGCCCCATCACTGGATAAGATGCTACATGTCCCTGAGATATATACTCAGAATTCCAAATATGGGAGCAATGAATCCTTAGGCAACTTAAGGTGTGTATCCATCTGTTTACAAAATCCTTGAGACTTTTCAAAGATAAGCAGGAAGTGAGAAAATAAGTTACTATGATTCTTACCCTAGTTCTGTCAACATGCAAACAGGCTAGATTCTAACATCCCCACTTTGCTTTTAAAACATTTCAATAGACTCAGGTTTTCAAGCAACTATGATTTTTCCCCTCATATTCAGAACAAAATGCAGATTGCATCATTCAGGCTCACAGCTTTAACAGTTCTCTCCAAATCCATATCCTCCTTTAAAAAGGCATTTTGGACAAGGTATTCTGGAGAAGTAGAAAGAAAAAATAAAAAGCCAGGGCCTACTCATGTTAACTATCGTTTCAGGAATTCCAACTGACCTTCTGAATGATTCCCTGAGCGCGGCAAGTGTTTTCTGCCTTAATCACATAAAAACCGATAATACCAGCAGAGCCTCTGCAAGCACATGAGTGATTCAAGGAACTAAATTAGAGAAGAAAGAAAATCATCTCGTGAACGCTCCATTATACAAAACAAGGGCAGAGCAGCTGTCCACTTCGCAAAGCAGAGCCAACAGAGGTAAGAGATTAGACGAACACGCTGCAGTACAACTCTCTCCATGTCAGCCTGTCAGTTCAGCACAAGCCACCGCTGCAAAGTGCAGTGACCGATGCTAAGCCCAAATACAGGACGGCTGGTCATCACTAACAGTCTTAGGAAGCACCATGGGGTGAACGCTGGACTCTACTTCTTAACAGACTGCAAGCCCTGCATCAAGACTGAGTTCTGAGCAGTCACTTTGTTTCAGCTACTGCCTGAAGACGACTCCCCCTGTACAACCATGGAGGTCTAAGGCCCTAGAGCTGGTGAGGGGGCACTGGTCTCACCGTCACAGGCAAGAAGTCTGGCAGTAAATGAATCTGCAGGCATCAGAGCCACAAGAGAGACAGGAGACAGTCCATTCTTTGTGTTGGGAGAAGATACATTTTCTGCCCTTGGCTGGACCACAGGCTTTGGGGAGACCCAGAACAAGAGGCTATGTCTCCTCTTAGGAGGGATAAGCACCTTCTCTGAAGCATGTATTAAAGGGATGCTCAGAAAGAGGACAAGATGTGCATGCTAAAATTTCCAGTGCGAGGAGAATGCTCTACTGAAATCCTGGGCCTCAGGGACTCCCCCGCGGCTGCAGGCTCCGCGCATGGAAAGTGCTTGATTTAACTTAGGCCAGATGAGCCCACAGTGAGACCCTCCCTCTCCCCCAGCTCTCAGGAATATCAGGAATGGGACTCGCCTGGCCTCTGAGGAACTGGTCACGTGGAGGGTAACTCAGGCCCTGACGTCACCAAGCCACGTAATCCAGCGTTTAGCCCTGCTGTAAATATTCAGTTCTTTGAGCCCCCGCTCAAATGTCATGGGCCTAAGCCCTTAATCATGGCTAGTGCCTGTCTCTGGACCCCGTCCAAACTGTCAATGTCTTTCTTGTGCCTGGACCCAGATTTGGCACAGAGGGGATTCCAAATGGAGCTGAACCTGGACTGTGCAGAGGGCATGGTCTGCCTCAGCCCAGACGTTAAATCTTGGCATATGCAGCTCAGCATGCCACTGCCTTTTTCTTTTCTTTTTTTTTAACCCCCGGGCATATGGTCAGCCACAATCTTTCATCGGGGCTATAGCAGTACACGTAAGATCCCTCTACAAGGGCATGTTCTCTCGTGGATATTTACTTCCTAGAGATGCATGACAATAACGTTAATAAGTTAACATTTATAAAACGCTTTCACAACGAGAAACACACTTACCAAACAGGGTGTTTCTGCCCTTTCAGAGACCTTGGTACTCAATCAATATTACCCCATACGACGCTGTTAATATTTATTACACCATGGCTCCAATATTTGATTCCTTGACTTGCCACCAATTCCAAATTTTATGAGCTGTGGCATTTTCCAAATGGATGCCCTTGGAAACCACCAACATGGAGACAATTTGACACTTTTGTAGAGGACATCCTACCATTAACTATTAGTTGCTTAATAACAAGCCAAGAGACTATAAACAGTAACTCTACAAAAATAGGGTAGAGGTGGAAAGGTTTCTGTGTTTTTTTTTTTTTTTAATTTATTTATTTATTTATTTATTTTTTTATCACAACCATAGTGGTTTCTGTGTTTTTTAAACAATATCCTCAGTCGCTTAGTCATGTCCGACTCTCTGCGACCCCAGGGACAGTAACCCACCACGCTTATCTGTCCAAGGAATTTTTCAGGCAAGAACACTGGAGCAGGCTACCATTTCCTCCTCCAGGGGATCTTCTCAACTGAGAGATCAAAATATTGGCAGGCAGATTCTTTACCACTGAGCCACCAGGGAAGCCACCGTATTAAACTTGATCTTAGCTAAAAGGCCATGAAACACGCCATTTCCATACCAAGAATCTGGGTAAACCTAAAGAAACTACAAAAATGTATAAGATGTTAGCTTCAACATGTTTTTCTCAATTCCCCAGGTTTTGAATGCTCTAGCGTTTCTGCCAATTAGGTCAAATGCACATAAACCATCTTTGCATTCCCAGAAGAGGAATGTGAACATCTAATAAACATATGAAAAGAGGTTAGCCTCATTAAGGATCAGGGAAATGCAAATGAAAACAACGATGAGACACGGTTACTCACCAGTTGATTAACAAAAATTAGAAAGATCAGTGTCATTGAATACTTGGTGAGGGTGGAGGGAAACAGACTCAAAACAGGAATGAAAGTTGAGAAAAATATTTCTGTAAAATAATTTACTCATACCTATTAAAACAGACATTTTTGGGGGGGACTTACTTAATTCTACTTCTAGAAACCTTGCCTACACAAAAAAGAGCAGAATTACTCCAAAGCACATGAACAGAATCATTGCTTCAAGCACAGCTTGTAACAAAAAAAAAAATTTGGAACCTATGAGGAGCAGACTCATTCATAATGAGTAGTTTATTCCAGAAGACTAGCATACAGTCACTAAAAAATATGAAGCATTCTTTTGTCCAGTGCTGGTAAAATATAATTAATAGTTATTGATGAATGAAAACAAGTAGCCTGAATGCAAATGTCTATTTATGATTCCCTTTTGTAAAAAATACAGACACACACACATACCACACACCCCCTTCTAGGTGCATATAGGCCTGAATCTGTAAGCATGACTTATATGCAAGGTAAAATCAGAAAGAAAATATACTAAATTGTTAGCAATATATATCTATAATATAATTAAAGTAATGGAATTAAAAGTGTTTACACTTTTCTCATTCTCACTTTTAAAATTTAAACATAAATCCCCCATGCAGACAACAGAAAATGTGAATGAAAACTCCAGGTGAGGAGTTGCTCTGCGGCAGATTCACTGCATGTGTAGTTCTCTTGCAGACTGACCTCAAGAGCCCAGGAGAATCGAAATCCTGCATCAACCAGTACATGCACAATTCCTTCTTTTCATTCCTGCCTGTGGCTAAATCTTTGTGGAATTCATCAGTATTTTTCATCCACCAAGGAACAAAAGGAGAGAGCGTGGGGTTTCAAAGCTAATGTTCACTAAAGACTTTTAAAAATAACATTGCAATACTGGAACCAAGTCGACTAAGCTAACAGCCTACACTCTCTGACTTGCCATCCAAAAACTAGACCCACAAACATTCCATACCCTGTCATCGCAAAAAAAAAAAGGTGGCCCAGACAGGTTTGTTTGTTTTTTCCCCTGAAATTCCTCGGTTACCTAAAGCCTCCGAGTTAGTTGCCTGTTAAACCCCTAGCCTGCAGCTGACAACCCAGAATGTCCATTGAGTTGGTCAGACACCAAAAACCTGGGTGAAAGGTCAAAGATCCAGCTGTCACCTGGATGTTTGCCTTCACATTGCAAAAACCTCTGGACATTTCTAAATACCCAGGTGTTCAATAACAAGCAGAATAAACACCCAGAAGCTGGACGGAAAGTTGAACTCTGTGCCAAGTCAAGGAATGTAGTGTCCATATGACGGTAAATATTCTCACAACTTCCTTCCACCAGTATCAGGGTTCAAATAGGTTCAAATTATAGTGAAGGACAGCCCTCCCTTTTAACTCTGGCCGTCATAAGGTGCCCCATGAACTGTAATTCAACAGAGGCCAGCTGTCATCAGGATGCACAAAATCTTACTACCCCCTGCCAGACTCCCATTTTCAGCTGGTTCCTGGGGTATTTCAAATCATCTC